GCCATCCTCTATAATTAGCGCACCAATGCTTCAGTGTGGATCTTTTGAGAGAGCTTTTTGAAGCATCACTGCCTGCGGGAAATTTCGATTTCTTCGCAGTAGGATCTCCATGCATCTCTTTGTTTTTGTCTGACAATTTATTTGTATTCTCTGAGGTGAGATTTGTAAGTATCCCAGTCCTCTTTGAGTTTTGTTGTTCTTGCCTTATTAAAGGATTTCCTAGCCATCTTCCTAAGGTGATCCAACTCGTGACACCACCATGCGGTAGTCGTCTGATCGTATTGGACCAGCCTCAGGGGACAGAATTTCTTATAGGCATTGTTTATTGTGCTTTGGATAGTGTTCTAGTACTTCTCCAAAGCATTATTGTTTGGTGTTTCGGCTTCCATCTCTCTTAGAGCCTCTTGGAGAAGGTGGGCATCATGGGCGAAGTTAGGGGAGGGCTTGGGGGGGCTAAGCCCCCCCAAAACCCAAATTAGCCCCCCCAAAAATAATTCGAACATTTATCGCACATCGACCCATACATTTCAGATTTTAGAACAGAAATTAAAAAATAAAAAGAATCGTGCCATTTGATTGATTCTGCAATTTTACATTTAGCTCAGGAGGCAGTGAATTTTTTTCGTACCTACTCATTTTTCCAGTAGGTGTATATGAGTACCAAAAAACAAAATTTTTGAGTCCGACTCTTATTTTCCCAGTCATAAATATTATACATTTACTAAACTAGAACAAAAAGTTTATAAAAATAGCAGTTTGGATTATCTCAGATAGTGGAAAGTGAGTGTGGCAGAAAATTTAGCACATAAATTGACACAATCATGAAATGTTAATAATAATGTCTGGCTGATTTACGAAATTGACAAATGAGTCTGGTAACATCTTCAAAATCGAAAAAATATAATATTTTTGCTTTTATTTTCCCGGGTTTGAAAATTTGTCACGTAATAGATTATATTGTAATTTTACACCTCTATTTTATAGCCGATCAAATGCTGTTATTTTAAAACGTTTCCATGACAACCAGAAAAATTTCCGGTAATTTTCCTATTGGTGGGTACCCTAAACGAAATTATACTGAAAATTTTTTTGAAAGTTGAGAAGCCCTTCCATGCATAAAATATTACGACGCAACGCGATAGTGTGATTAAAAATTTGCCGTTTTAGTGGTTAATATTTTATTTAATACCAATTATAACTAGGTAGAAATACACTACATTTATTTTAAGTAAAATAATAATGAGGTTTTTCGCGTCAACTAAACGACTTCAAATATGACAAATGGTCATGATATGGCCACAGCATTTAAAAATATATGTTTTATATACTGTGGTATGGCCAGCTTTGAAAATTTGATTTTAGTCGTTTTAATGTCTGTCAAGTTTTGAAATTTGGATATTTTGGTGTAAAATTTTCTTACCCAATACCACATGTGCTTAAATTATTATCAGTAAATTTTTGCTCACTCACGCATATTTTAAGAAACTTATCCATCGTCTTCGACTAAATTTCAAAATATTCTTAAGTTCGAAAAAATTTCCGGAAATAATTTAGTCACTAGTGGTATTCTAAGTGAAAATACACGTCTGGCTGACAATTACAATCACGAAGGCCTGCCAGACTCACAAGTAGTGTAGTTTCGACTACAGTTTCGGTTTCGGCGGAATACTCGCCGAAACTGCAGCCGACAGCAAAACTACTTTCGAAAGTTTTCGTATCACACTTGGTTGTGTCCTGCACAATGGCGACTGTGCCGGGTGCCATTCTTACACAGTGTACGTACACACAAACATCTCTGCTTTGTTTCAAGTGAACAGTCTTCAGTGCTCCTGGCCTAATTTATTCGGATCAAAGGAGCAATTTTTTAGGTGAAAACGTGGAAAAATATATGTTTTACCCTACAACGTTAGACTGTTTACTTATGAATATTAATTTAATTATAAGTAACAAACATATTTAATCCGCTGAATTTGTTTATTTTTTTTTAATAAAAATTATACATTATATATAATTCCCTTCATAATACTATGTTTTGTTACAAAATATCTACTACAGATGCAGAAATGATTGATACTTTGTAATTCACTTACTTTTTTTTTTAATTTTAAAAGTAATAAAAAAAACAATGTCCATAAATTTATTAATGGCTACTTTTGATCACCAAAAATAAATAGGTAATAAGTAAATGTAGCTTAAATTTATAATACGAGTTAATTAGTCTAAAACAAGGATTACAATAAGATACTGCAAATTTCAATAAGAGATTGCCTTAAAACAAAGTTCTTGTTTCTGTTTCGGTTTCGGCCGAAACTAAGAAAGGAGCCGAAATTTAGTTTTTGTTTCGGTTATAAAACCATATTTCGGTCGGACCTGACAAGCCAGGTAGTTAAACGAGGAGAGGAATAGCAATCGAACGTGCCGAATTTAGCGCGCCTGGCGATCATTAGATGAGTCTGGCAAGGCTTTCGGGGTGTTCCACGTTAGCCAGATTGTATTTGAAGCTGTTTTCGTATTATACATTTTTCTAGTAGTGAGAACACTTGTAACAGGGATCCTTACTGGATAATGCCAACTAAAAGGACACCTTAGTAAACTGAGATTAGTAGAAGATAGTGACTGCAGATTCTGTGAGGAGGACGAAACCTTCGTTCACATTCTAACTGAATGTGTAGCACTCCAGAATCAAAGGGCACTATACCTAGGAGCATATAAAATAGAAGAGGGAAATTTACCTAAATTGAAGCCACTCCAAATCCTACACTTCCTTGAAAAAATATAATTGGAAGGATCGTTATAGGCATTGAGACATTTCCGTGCTGCATAAGCGACAAAAGGGGGCACAATAGATATTTTAGGTCGCAGTGTATTAACACCCCATTCCCAACATAACATAGTGAGAAAACTGCAAAAAAATGAAATCCACCAATCACAGTTCATATTTTGGACACCCAACTACTATTATTTTTAAAATTTTAAATTCTATCAGTATATTTTTTAGTCATTAAGAGTACATACGTTAAAATTAGTTATTTTTGTTTAGAATCGATAAAAAATGGCATTTTTATTTTTATTTGGGCCACATTTAAAAATAATGAATTTTAATCAAATTGTATGAAACTGATTTAATTACGAGTATTAAAACTAAAAACCTGGAGTGGAGAGGAGCAGAGGACAGATCATCTAGGTAGATTCCACGCGAATAGCCTGGGTTCGAATCTGGACAAGGGGCTTATTTTATGTTATTATATTTTATAAATTAATAAAATTCATAAATTATTTTAAAATTAGTTATTTTGTCTAAACCTAAAATAATTTTTTAAATTTTTATATTTTCCTTAGTGGTTCATAGAAAAAATATACTGTACAACTCGAATGAATTGTCCATATCTACTCTTGTTGCACAAACTACTATTTCATGACTGCGAAAATGAGGAAATTTTTTTAATGAATTATTGTGATGAAAATTTTTCAGGTTTTTTACTTGACATAAGTATATATTATATATGATATTTTATCCATTTTCATAGATTCGCCAGAATTTTTTTACTTAACTTCAGCATACCTCTAGAACTATTATATATTATATGACTAGGGCTAGGGCTTTAGCCCCCCCAGATCTGATGACATAACTTCGCCCATGGTGGGCATAGATTGCCCTGTCCGTCTTCCTAGGGTTCCGAGATAGCGTGGAGGTCGGCAAGACCAAGTTTATTTTGAATGTTAACCAGCTGTGGTCTGACATCGAAATGTTATCAGACACTTGCCAGTTTAGAATTGATTTATAGATACCAGTTGTGGATAAAGTGATATCTATTAGTGTTTCACTGTGAGAGTTTAAAAATGTTGGTGTAGTACCTTTATTTAAAATACAAATATTTTTGTTAATTATATAATCATAAAGTGACTTACCTCTAGTGTTGTTATCCTTCGACGATGCTATGATCTCAAATTATAAAGCGCTTGATGGCGGAGAAGTTATGCGGTTGGCTCGGAAAGACATATATCCTGGGTTTGATTCTCACTAGAAGTTCGAATGCGAATGCCCGAACTTCCTACCTTTTTTTAAATATTTTCGGATTCCTGTAACTAGTATCTACAACAACAGTGGATATGTTGACCGTATTGCACTACAACGTTTGAGCACTCCGCCTCCAGTATAGTTTTTTACAACCCACAAAGAAAATATACACATTTTTTAAACATTAGGATAAAATAACTCTTAAACGCAATAAAAAGATTTAAATTTATGACTTTCACTAATTTATAAAATAAAATAAAAATATTAACTAGATAAAAAAGGAAAAAGAAACATGCAGCTGATTCTAACCCTAGTTGTCGACGTAGAACGTCATCAGTCATCATGCATACCAGTTTTCTACCAAGCTTGCTATTATCTATTTGCAAATATAAACGAATTTTATCCATTCAGTAAAAGTGACATTATATAGGTTGTGCAGACATGTGGATGTAGAAAAAAATCCTTTATTTAGCCTTGCGTTTACGGCTCTCAATTCACAAAAACTAAACATGAAGTATTTCTGCGTGATTATGACATTCCTCTGAAAAACCTTCGAAAGATTAGCTGAAGGAAAATTGGAAAGTTGGAATTAAATAATATTTCAAATTAACTTCTTGGTCGCAGGGTGTTTAAAGCGCTCTGATGGCCGAGAGTTAGGTATTGGTCCAGCCAGCCAGAGATCGTGGGTTCGATTCCCACTGAAACCATAAATTTTTGCAATTTTTTTTGTTTATTTGCACCTATCATTGCTAATTGCTCAAAAATGTATTTTGAATTTCCTACACTTTCTTTATATAGGTATTTATTTGTTTAAACATTGGCTTGCAATTGGCTTGAAAAAGTACCAACCTGTATAAACGGCTATGAGTTTTTAAAACGCGTAGGCATGTATTATATGTACTCAGAGTAATATAAATTGTCGAATAGATTCTATCTTTCTTGTTAATTGGATAGTAAATTTGTATTTTTTTTCTGTTTGCAGATTTCGTTTTGGGAGTGTCTGACTGCAACTTTTAAAGGTAAGTAAACAATAAAAATAGAGCTGATGTATTTTGAATTAATTTTTATGGTTAAGATATTAAACAACGATAATTTTTCTATTTCACGTAATGTTATATCAAATGAAATAGATGTATATAATAATATACGATTACATATTATTGTTGTTATTATTATTAATAATAATAATAATGACATTATCTAGTCTCTCCCTCAAAGGAGTTGTCCCAATAACTGAAGACACTTCCTACCAAGCCAAATATATCTCTGTAATAAAATGGACTACATCAGTTGCATCACTCAAACTTTTTAGACTTTGCCTATATAAGTCTATTTAAATTTTATACAGGGTGTAACTAAATAAGTGTAAAACATTTGAGGGGTGATTTCTCATCGAAAAAAAGATAGGATCTTTCATATAAAGAAACTTCATTGGAGCATCCCTTGTTAAGATACAGCCCCTTAAAGGGGGAACATAAAATTTGTTTAACAATTTTTTTCACAAGCACTAAACAAGTTACAATATTGAAATTAACCTGACATTTTCTACTACCAAAAAGACACTTAGTCAGTAATTTATTTGGTTTACCCCATGGTTGTAAGGGGTGGAAAACGCAACCCCTAAAATTTCGTTCCAACGTAACTTTTTGTCTTATTATTTGTTTACCATTTATTTCCGATAGCCTGTTTCATTCTAAACCAAAAATGTCTCTTGAATTTTTTGCCCAAAATAAACCAGTTTGCAGCAAAAAATTATTTTACGAACAAGATATCGCCATAAAACGAAAATACGAAACTAATTTATCTAGTAGGCCGCTATTAGCGATACTGAAGTTATATTCCAGGAATAGTGAAGAATACAATAGACGCTTAGAAACATGATTCGATTAACCATAGTTTATAAATAGTGTAAAAACATAAATTTCTAGTTAGTTCTCATCTTGCAACATTCGAAATAAAGTCAATTTTTAAAAATTCGTTTTTGGTTTTGAAACCTTTAACTCTGACAATTACATTGAAATCAAGCTGTCAGTTTGTAAATTTTTGAAATTGAAGTAATACTAATTGTGTATGGTTGTTCTGTTCGTAATATGTTTCTTTAATAATTCACTTGTTATTAAAATGGCATACACAAATGAGGAAATGGGTGATATGCATTACGTTTACGGTCTGTCGCAGGGGAATGGGTTAGAAGCTTCTAGAAGATATGCTGAAATGTATCCTCAGCGGCAGCATCCTTCACATTGAATATTTGCCCGACTTCATCAACGATTACGAGAATATGGTTCATTCAACAAAAGAACGCACGATTGTGGTCGCCATCGAGAAGTAAGAACAGCACAGCTTGAGAAAGCACTACTTAATTTTATTGAAGAACAACCTACTACCAGTACTAGAAAGATTGCTTTCCAGCTAAATGTTGATCATATGACGGTATTTCGAATTTTAAAGGAACATCTCTTACACCCTTACCATCTGCAACGAGTACAGGCACTGTTATCGCGAGACTTTCCGAACCGTTTTGAATTTTGCAATTGGATGCTGGAAATGATTAGAAGAAATCGTGACTTTCTGAAGACGATCGAATTTACAGACGAATGTAGTTTTTCTCGGGACAAGATTATTAATTTTCTTAATTACCACATATGGGCTGATGAAAACCCTTACGCTATTGTTGAAACTCACCATCAAGAACACTTTTCTCTTAACGTGTGGGCCGGAGTTATTGGTGATTATTTAATTGAGCCTCATTTTCTACCTCCTCGATTAAATGGTGAGGCATACGTTAAATTTTTAAGAGAAATGCATCCCGTACTGCTGGAGGAAGTTCCTTTGGGCGTCAGAAGGGATAAGTTTTTTATGCATGATGGGGCTCCCGCCCATTGTAGTCAAGTAGCACGTCAGCATTTAACTGAAACATATGCAAATCAGTGGATAGGTCGAGGAGGACCACAGAATTGGCCCGCTCGATCCCCGGATCTCAATCCTCTCGATTTCTTTATTTGGGGCCATTTGCAGCATTTGGTTTATCGAACTCCTGTTCGCGATGTAGAGGACTTAAGAAACCGCAACATCGATGCGTGCAGGATAATTAGAGAGACTCCAGGATTATTTGAGCGAATACGTGGCTCAATGCGCCGACGTCTAGACGCATGCGTAATGTCTGAAGGTAGACATATTGAACATTTACTATGATTTCTACATGTATGTTTTGTTATTAATAAATTAGTTTTGATTATTCCCCTTTTTAATCATTTAATGCAGGTAGTAACTACAAAATAACAATAAATCCAGTTCGCATTTATGACGATGTATCTCTGTAGTTGTTCGTAAAATAATTTTTTGCTGCGAACTGGTTTATTTTGGGCAAAAAATTCAAGAGACATTTTTTGTTTAGAATAAAACAGGCTATCGGAAATAAATTTTTAAATGGTAAACAAATAATAAGACAAAAAGTTACGTTGGAACGAAATTTTAGGGGTTGCGTTTTCCACCCCTTACAACCATGGGGTAAACCAAATAAATGACTGGCTAAGTGTCTTTTTGGTAGTAGAAAATGACAGGTTAATTTCAATATTGTAACTTGTTTAGTGCTTGTGAAAAAAATTGTTAAACAAATTTTATGTACCCCCTTTAAGGGGCTGTGTCTTAACAAGGGATGCTCCAATAAAGTTTCTTTATATGAAAGATCCTATCTTTTTTTCGATGAGAAATCGCCCCCTTAAATGTTTTACACTTATTTAGTTACACCCTGTATATTGTATCCTCTTTTATCTCAGACTACCTGCCTTCTCTTCTCCTCTCTAGTGGTTCTCAATTAATCATGGTATACAGGGTGTCCCAATCCGTTGACCATAGATTCTTTAGGTCGGTAAAAGAAACCTCTATTGTTTTATTTTCGATTGAGACCATCATCGTCAATCTACAGGGCGACAAAGTTAATTTAAAAAAATACGTTTTTTATTAGATTTTTGTCGTTTTATTAAATAGATGGCTTAAAATTGGTACACGGGAGTTTTTTGGAATGAGAAATCATAATTTAAGTCTAAATATCACCTACCTCATAGATAGCTCTAGTTGCAAGTTACCCTGTATATTGAACATGATGAGGTTTTTAAGGAATCTGGTTAACGGATTGGCCTACTTTTTGGGACAGCCTGTATATACCTATTTTCTAAACAATTCTATATACAAGATCTAGATTGTTATAAGGGCTGAAACTAAGTTATTGCGTATAAAACAAAGTAATGTACCTATTACTAAAACCGTCAAAATAATACTTCCACAAATATTTATTCCAATTAATAAGAGTACATTTAAATAATATCGATATTTATAAAATAACAAATGAACGATTCTTCGTAATAACCCAGAATATTGTCGAGTCCCCAGATCTCAGACCATGCATCGGCTTATCTGGGTATAAACCCTTGGAGAGATGACACATATGGTACCACTTGATTTGTATCCGACGGTGTGACCAACCAACCAATAATAATATTGGCAATTGAATAAATAGCGTGTCAGAATGTGGATTAAATATTAAAAAAATGTCGATGACTTCACTACATTTACACCCCCCTGTATATCCGACCTAATTTAAAAACAAAATAATTGACCTGTTTTTGATGTTTTCCAAAAATCCATACTTTCCTTTTTATGGAATTTATTCTTATTTTTGACTCGCATAGCATGAAAATGTTCCACTTAAGTTGGTGGGAATTATAATCGTACAAAAACTTGTTGAGTCTAGAGATCCTCTGAAATAAATCGCAAATGGCACTGGTGGTAACCAATAAAAATAAATACATTCCAAAGGGAATCCAACCTCCCAAAAATGTGCTCATCTTCGATGAGACAAATAGATTTTCAATTTTATTTGTCTCATTAAAAATACACTAGAATGAAGATATATAATGCTTGGCATTCTATATTATACTCTTCGCAATTTAACAGACCCCCCTAACTCCCATTTTTAATCAGATTTTTTCAGAATCGATAGGGTTCATCCCTTTGTAAAGCTTAATTTTTCCTAAAGATTTAAATTTCAATATTTCAACCCCTCTTATTCCCCATTTTTATTTAGATTTTTTTTTTCAGAGCCAATAAGCTTCATTCCCATGTAGTGCTTGATTTTTATTAAAAACTTCATGTTAATATCGCTTTTCATTTTTGATTTATGATTTTTTTATTTCAACCTCCCTTAAAGTCCCCATTTTCAATCAAATTTTATTAAAAACCAAAGGGCTTTGTCTTCTTGTAAAGCTTCATCTTCTGATAGAGCTTGATTTTTACTAAACATTTCATGTTGATATCACTTTTAATTTTTGTTTTATGATTTTTTTTAAATTTTAATCCTCCATAAACCCACATTTTTTATTGGCTTTATAACATGGTGGTGAGACCGATAATAACATACGCAGCTTTGGTGTGATGGCCAAAGACACAGCAAAGGAAAGCAATAACGAGGCTAAGCAAGATACAAAGACTTGCCTGTCTCGGAATAACGGGGGCAATGAAAATAACCCCCACAGCTGCAATGGAAGCACTAATAGGACTCCCACCTCTTCACTATGTGATACAAGGGGAAGCAAGATTAGGTGCTTACAGATTAGGGAATATACTGGGAAATCTTGAAATTAGGTCAGGTTACATGAGTATCTCAAGGTTAGTGACAGGAGATGTGCTAGACATGATATCAGATCACATAACCAAGAGGTACTCTTTTAATACTCCATTTGAGGTTTTAATACAGGAAAGAGCGGATCTTACCATAAGGGAGCCCAATGCCCAACGACAGGAACAAACCTGGTGTATAGACGGGTCTAAGACTGCGGAAGGCACTGGGGCGGGAGTATTCTTCAAAAACCCTGATACTAACTATAGCTATGCTATAGGAATACATTCCTCGGTATTTCAGATCGAGGTATACGCAATTTTGCAATGTGCAAAAACGAACAATGAAAGAGCTGTCGTAAATCAGTATATTCAAATAATGTCAGACAGCCAGGCGGCACTT